TTTCTCCAGAATTAACCTCCGACCATCCTGAATTTCTTTATCCTAATCGTTTGCCTTAGAACAAATATTATGCTCTCACCCTTACCGTATCATGTGGGGGATTTGCTCTGACCTTCAGGAACCTACTGCAGGCAGACACGGAGAGGAGCCTGGTGATGCCCAGGGCTACGAGGTCAAGAATGTCTAACCTTGCCCTGTCTTGCTCTGGGCCATGTGGGGCTAAATACCCATGCGAGGAAAGAGGAAGAGCCTTCCCAGGCCTATCTAAGGACAAAGGGGACTCTTTCCTTCTCTCCTGATCATGGCTGCACTGCTGGTCACCAGCTGTGGGTTGTCATGGTGATTCCTGATGTGAGGGAAGCTGCAAATGTAGCAATGCCAGCAGGTGGCCTGTCTAAGAAACAGGACCTCCTTGGAGTCCACAGATACAGGATGACTCCAGGAAGAGGGTTCAAGCAGAGGGAAGCAGAGACTGAGGGACCAGACAGGGAAGCCATCACTGGCTCTCAGGAGGTCAAAGGCCTCGCCTAGTGGAACCTGGTTTGGCTCCTCCTTTTCCTTAACAGTGACTAGGGTGGTCATTCGCCTTTCCATTGCCTCCTGCTTGCTAATCAGTCCTTTAAGGGGGGCGAGTTATTCACTCAATGACCAAGCATGGGATGACCCTGGTCTTTCAGTTTCCCTGATGACCTTCCTTGGGAAGCCCCAGGTACATGAGAAAGGGCAGAAGGCTTCTCTCAGGAGTACATCAAAAAGCAAATTTACTTCTGCAGCGGGGGAGAGTTCTCATCATCTCACCTTGACCCAGTCTTTAAGGACAAGCACCTTCTTCGTGCCCACTCATGGGATTAGCAGGATGCCAAGGAACCGGAGGAAGTCCCAGGGAGATGGCAGCCCAGGACTGATACTGAGGCACAGCCAAAGGAACAAGATACAGTTAGTTCAGCAGCACCTCCTCCTTGGCGTGAGCCAGTGAGGAATGTTCCATGGATCCCCAAACTAGCTCTGTAGATCTGCTTAGGACTGGGGTTGAAGCAGAAGTCTCCGGCATGGACTCCAGAATTAGACTGCCTGAGTGCGAATGCTTTGCCACTTACATGCTGAGTGACGACGGCCATGTTCCTTAACCCTTCAATGCCTCAGTCTCCTCATCCATAAAATGGGCCTTTCAACAATACCTTCCTCTTAGCATCGTTGTAAGGATTAGAGAAGCATATAAGCACGTCAAATTCCTTTAGCACAGGCTCTGGAGCATAGTAAGTAGTCAGTAAATGTTAGCGGCTACTATTAGTAGCAGTAATATTACTTGAGAAACAGCTGGTGAGGAAAAGTGAGCTACGGGAGTGGAGTTTTGCTTACTGCCCTGTAATTGGCATGTTGCTTGGCAAACTCCAAGATTCTCAAATGGTTTTGTCTGCTTTCCAAGAAAATCAAACAACAGGTGCCTGGGTTGTCTTAACTTATTGCAGCCCAAAGACAGTCTGGTTTGGTTTAAGACCTCCTGGGGCAGGCTTAATATCGATCACGGCCAGTACTTACATGAAAGCTTCTGCCTCAAATGATGGCCCACCCCACTCAGGTGACTTTTCTACGCAGTCCATGCAATCAGTGAATTTTTTTTTTCCCTCCTGGGGGAGCTAAAGCAGCACAACTGCCGGCTGCCTGTCAGAAGAGAAAGTGATGGTTCTAGAGACATGCTGATGGCTTTTCTTGCTTTGGGAGAGGCTGACCTTTGAGCTACAACATGAGGGATCTGGGGGCACTTGATTGGCTAATGTCCTAGGAACCCAGGAGCCTGGGTAGGCGGGTAGGCAGGGGAATGGACAGGAACAGGAGCATCCTAAGTACTGATTCTAAGTTTCTGGTGAGGAAGGGGACAGGTGCAGCCCGGGACAAGAGGACAGGTCACCTCTCTGGTCATCTAGCTGCCTCCATCCCTGGAGTTGGAAGCATATGCGCAGTGGCATATCCTGTCCTAGCCGTGGCTTCTGAGATGTCTTCATGTGGGATATCTGACTTCTCAGAGGTTTAGGAGGGAGTCTCTAAACATATTTCTGGTCCCAGTGGGCGCTGGGCTTGCTCCCCAGCTGTCTGTTCTAAGGAGGGAAGCTGAGAGACCACCTCATGCTCCCCCTGGTGAGTGTCTGCAAGAACTGAACCTGTCTGGGATGAATTACAGGCAGACATACTAGCTGTTTTGAAACATTTGAAGACTTTGAGGATAGCCTTTTCTGAGTTTCCCAGAAGCCATTACTGAGGTTTAGTATCAGAAAGGTAGCTTCCTAAGCTTCTCAGCACACAGTGATGACGCACTGCAAACACCACCAGTAAGAACAGGTGAGATTTGTCATAGAGGGCATGGTAGAGGGGTTTCTGCACCGGCTGGGTAGGAGACTGTGCTTGGAGCCCTAAGTTCCTTTGACCTCTAAGATTCTGGGACTTAAACTAAAGGAGGTGACTCTTTAGAGGCTGACACCCAGAGGACAGGGCGTTGGGTTTAGGGGTTTATTCTGAAGCTTTTCCACGTAGACCCATTTGTGGAAGCTTCTGAGAAACTTGGAAGCCCGAGACGGCCTAGTGTTGGCCATCTGCTGGAACAAAGCTACGAAGAAAACGACCAGAAAAACCACAAGTGCCAGGAAGGAAAGAGCTGGGATCACTTCACGGCAGAGACAGCTTGACTTTGTGATGTACCAATAATTTGAGAAACGGAGAGAGAAAAATAAACACAAACCTCTTGCAAAAAGCCTTCACGTCAAAGGAGAGGAAATTACCCAGACTACCAGGGTGTTCTAATCAGAGCCTTCTTATCAGAGTGTCTCCAGCCCAACAAGGAGAAATCTAATCTACAGCGGGCTGGACGCTAAATTCGATCTAATCAGGACATGCTTTCCAACTGCTCAGCAGCAGGTCAAAGCGCAATGACCAGCGGTGGCTGCTGCTTCTTTCTGGAAAGCAAACCCTCCTAAGTTGTGTCAACTTCTGGGTGCGTGTGAGGGGGGATGCTTTGTTTTTGCTCCCAGCTACTCCATTCCATCTGCTCAAAACTGTGGTGGGATTGAACTAGAGCTGCCTTCCCTGCCCCTGCAAAGTCCTATGAGTTCTATTAATATCACTGCTGTCAGCTCCAAGCTGGGAGACATTTCCTTTTTTAAAATACATGCATCCCCTCCCCCAACCCATGCATTTATTGATCTTTGCAACAAGCGATGCTCTGGGCTAGGCACTTTGATGCAAGCTAGGTTTCTCCTTAATGTATGCAAGGGCATTTTCCTGATCAGACATGCTGCACCAGACATGCTGATTATAAAGGGATATTCACCCCAGCCCAGTGGAACACAACACCCCAAAATCTCCCTCGAGGCCCACGCTATTGTTACACTTCTTTCCAGGGATTAATAGCTACAGTTAGCTAGTTGATGGTGGTGGTTGTAACTCAGAGCTTCTCTGCTAGAAGCAAAGAACACCATCTGTGCAACTCCCAGCTCCCCGCAGAGCCCTGGCGTGTCACTGCAACTAACAGCCTTCAAGGCTCACCTGAGGGCGGGAACTTAAAACCCGTTCGCCCACACAGAGACTCAGACTGAGACGGACGTGGACACGGAGGTGACGGGGGATATAGACAAAAAGACCCGGAACCTCCTTTCCCTCACCTGCCACTTCATTGCTTACAGACGGTCATTAGGCCTGGGCAGCCGCCAGGCATTATGTTCCTGACTGTGTGGGCCTGGGAGGACCTGTCCAGGCCTGAGTCTTACGGGACACAGGAAGGGTAGGGAGTGAAGATGCAGAAAGGGAACGACTGAGGAAAATTCTCACATCTTCTTCCTTGAAGAGTCTTTGGGCGTCACCCTGAGAAAGTGTTGCCGACCTTCCTCTCTCTGCTCGAGCGTCCGGCCTCCCTTCCAGCCGGAGACCAGCTTGACTCCCTGGTCTACAAACTCCTACCGCAAGTTTGCTTAACTGCACGCGGGGACATGGGGGGGCCCCTTCCTCACCGCCTGTGACTTGGAGATGGTTTTACAAAGATACAGGCACCCATTCGCTCACTCGTCGGCCCCCAGAGGCACTCTACTCAGAGGGCCCAGCGCCTTCTCCAGGCTCCACATTGATTTTGCTGTGTGACCGAGGGCAGGTCATTGACCTCCCTGAGACCTCGGTCTACTCCAGTGCTCCCAGGATACTCAAGATCAACTCCCAGGAACTGCGATGGTCACCGAGCGGGCAAGGAAGTGTGCGCGCACACACCCTGACACCCACTGCGCACGCACGCACGCACGCACACGCCACACCACCTCATCACAGACCAGAGATAACTCACCCCCATCATAAAATCTTCAAATACAGGACCAGCTAAGTTCCTCTCCTCATCAGAGTCCAATTATCTTCTTCAAACATTTAAGCTCAAATGACCAGAATGAAATAAATGCAAATAAATAATCCCAGAGCTTAAAATTCGAGGCAACAAATCTTCCTTTAAATTCAATAAACACTTTCCCCCTCAGCCACATCTTACCAAGAAAGAGTCGCACTGGTGACGGATTACGCTCTTCTGTATAATTATTTCACCACCCCTCCCCCACCCGTCTTCAAGGTCACATGCCTGACAGCAGGTCCCCTGCAGTTTTCTTGCAATATGGTGTGTCAGTGTTTTAGTTCCCTACTTTCCTAGCTCACCTCTGTAAGACGATGCCCCTTGTAGATTCAACGTAGGCTTCATTCCAAGCCCCCAGATCCGTGGTCAGTGACTCATGCCCAGGCCAGGCTCCTGAGCTACAGCATTTAGATTTGTTTACCTTGACCTTGGCCTCCCTCTGCCAACTCCCTGGCTTTCCTTCCACCAAAAAGAGGTGACAGAGGTGTGGGGTGGACAGCTCAGATTGTTTTTCTTTTTGGTATGTGTAAACTCAAAAGAACTGTACAGTGTGTGGCTCAAAGTTTGCAGAGAAGAACCTGCAAAGAGTCCCCAAGACATACACAGTGACAAGGGGCCTACTCACAGCAGCTGTAGGGACACCAGTCCATCAAAGAGTCCCTTGGCAAGCTCCGTGATCTTGTTCCCATAGAGCACCCTGCAACAGAGCAGAGAAGAGAGTGGTCACTATGGAGGCAAGGCCACTGGGACCCACTCCCGTAGAGGCCACGGCCTAGGCCAACTCCAGCCGGTGGGTGGGTGGGGTTTCTCATAGCATCTCCTTCTCCGGCTGGCCTCAGCCCCACTCCTTACCAGGGGGACAGCGGGCGAGTGCCACCGGGGGCTGGAGAGGCAGGAGAAATGGGCTCTATCCTGTTTCACTCCTGGGCAGGCCAGTTCAATAAACCACAACAGGGAGCAGCAGTCCCTCTGTAGTGTCTCCCTGAGCGGTTAGTATGACTCACACCTTGGCAATAAATAAGATGTGTAGGAAGCTGGTCGCCCCGTGTCTTCTTGTCTTCAGTGGGTATTGATCAGGCTGAGCCCAGCCTAGAGAACATTTCCTTTTAATATCCCATTGCATCCTAGGAATTCCTGAGCGGAGTTCCTTAATCATCCATCCAGACGGGGCTTTGGGGATCTGGGGTCCTATCCGGGTGGCACAGGGACTGCTGAGTCGAGGACTGGCTCTTGGGAAACACAGGAGAGCAAGGAACTGTGGCCTCGGAGCAATGCCCCTGCACTCCAGCCCCTCTTTGAGCTGCAGGAACCAAGAGACTCTGAATTCTTTTACCGCTCTCTCCGTCAGACCTCCAGGCTCCCTCACACTGTGTCTCCTGTTCACGGTCTGGCCTTCGGAAACTTGGTGGGGGGACGGGGCTTGGGGGAGAATTCTGCGGTCAGCCTCTCTGGCCCAGCACCCAGGGCGTCTCGTTGGCCCTCTGCATAGGCGCTGAAGGCCACTGCTGGCCTCTCTCCGCTCTCATCCGTGGCACAGCCTGCTTCTCGTGGTCTGGAGGAAACTGAGCGGGGTAGGGCTTTTTTCTTTTTGTTTTTTTTCCTTTCAATTCCCTCTTGGGCCCTGAAGTACACTGAATGAGTACAATATTCAATCCCCACTCGGACTTCAAATCCAGGCTGTTCCACATCTTTGAGGAGACAAAATATTAGGGTGAGGAAATAGTAAATGGGAGCGATAAACCAAACCCCCTGTTTTCCAGACGCCACCGGGAAAAAGTGTGTCACTCAGCCGGCGGGTGTGTTTCATTAATGTTTCAACAAATTAATGAGTAAATAAAAGTCAGCATGATGGCTCAGACTCACATTTGTAATTCATATTAACGTCCCACCGCTCTCTGTGCCAAACGTTGTAGCGTCACTGTCTGCTCATCTCAGCTGATGTCAAAGCTTCTGGTGTAGCAGCAGCTGGTGGGGTGGTAGGACCGGAGACTTGGGGCAGGGCATTCTCTTATAACCCATCATACCTCCAGATGGGACAGCTCTAACCTGGTGGGTCAAACCACTCTCTGGCAGACTAGAGAGGGCTGTGGGGCTACCCTGGAGGAATCTGGGAGTAAACCCACCTGGCTTTGCTTTCAAATCTTTCCTTGCCTGCCTTCTTCCCACCTTTCAGGTCTGAGGGACCACATCCCTTCCTTGGGAAGCTTCTTCTAAATATTTTAATTTTTTTTTTTTAACCACCTGTCACCCTGTTTTTATTTCTTCATCACTTTTCTTTAGGTTATGTTCTATTACTTCTGTATTCATTTATTTAAACATTTTTCTGTGCCTCTACCTCTTAGCTCCCTGGAATGTCGGCTCCGTGTGGTGATGTGTGGCTTGCTCATGGCTGGAGCTCATGGCTGGAGCTCCTCCCTAGAGCTCAGAGCTGACACGGCCTAGCATAGTATTTGTTTAAACAAATGAATGTGTATGGGCAAGGCTTTCCTGCCTTTTAGTTAGCTTGGCCACTCCTGAGTCTGGGCTGGGTGTGTTTGCATTCCAAGCTCCATGAGACCAAGGGTCTTGTCTATCCAGCTCACTGTCACATTCTATGTGCCTAGCAGGCCTCTACTTGAATGGATGAATGCATAAATTAGAGGTGAGGGGCACTTCCCTTACGGTCCCAGTATATTTCAACACTGGCCAGTGAGATGCCAATTTCATGTTTGGCAACCAGATTTTGAATTTTTTCCCCCCCGCAGGACCAGAAGCATCTCACAGCCCTCAGATTGTGCCCAAGTTCTAGCAGAGGGAAGCCAGATAAGGGGAATGGAAGGGTAGGGGGGCAGGGATCAGATCCTGGCAGCACACGGAGCCTCTCTCTCTGCTCCTCTGTGATCTTCAGCACAATAAGCAGACACTAATCTCACATACAATCCTGTCTTTGATATCCCAGCCAGATGTTCTATTCGATAAATGAAACTAATTTACTCTGCAAGCAGCAGGCAACAGCTGAATCAAGAGACTTCCCTGTCCTCAGCCCCTTCCCAGTGGGATGGGGCCAGGTGGGGGAAATGTGGATCTTGTTACCTGCCTACTCATACATTAAGCAAGCAGGCTGCAGAGAGAAGCGAAGCCTCGACAGTTCGCTTCTGAGCATCCTCGCCCCTACTCAGTGGGCGGGTCATCCAATAATACAAATAGTGTCAACTGATGATACCTTTCTTGGGTCTTAGTGCATATTTTTCGCATTATCTGGGGAGGCAGCATCGCACAGGGATTGAGGGCACGGGTTCTGGAGTCGCACTGCTTGGGTTCAAATCCTGCCTCTCCCAGTCATGGACTTTGGATAATTACACTTATTCGACAAACTTTATTTTTGTGTAATTCCTATAAGCCAGGTGCTGTTTGAGGTGCCAGAGATTCAGCCAGGATCAAGAGAGGTAAAAATTCTTGTTTATGTAGAGTTTAGATCACCTGATTCCTTCTATTGTAAAAGAAATGAGGATAGAGTCTCTGTTTTAGGTTGTTATGAGCACCAAACCTGCAAGACCCCTGGCACACCCTAAGGGTTTCATAGGTACTGCCAATTATTTTAATCATGGTCACCACTGAATGTGAGTTAGGCAGGAAAGATAGCCCCATCCCCATTTTGTCTGACGGGAAAATATACAGTAGACTCAAGTGGCAACCCCTGTGCCACATGACAGGTGAGTCACTGACAGAATCAGGACAAAGCTCCACACCTTCTTGCCCCTGCGGGTCTCTGAGTCCCCAGTGGGCGAGGCCGTGGCTCCACCCAGAAGCTGCCCTAGGATCGCAAAATCCAAGAAAAGAAGGCCTTCCAGGACGGGAGGGATGCTTACTCAGAACAAAGGCCAAGAGGTTGGTTTGGAGAAAAAGCCTGAAAATCAGGGGAAGAAAATTAGCTTCTCCCTTGACAAGGTCACACAGATGGGCAAAATGGGTGCACTGGTCATAAACATACATTACCATTCTGTCCCTCCAGCTCCCCAGAGAGCCAGGGGAGGGAGGGAGAAGTGCGGGTAGAGCAGAAGATGCATTTGAATTAGAAGCCAATAACTGGGAAGGCTGCTGGGCACTTAATCAATAAAAATAATGCATTTGGTTGTAGAAATATTCCCCAAGATCAATTTCCCCTGAAGAAATATTTGTTTCTTTTACCAGGTTGCCACAAGTGTGTAAGGGAACATAAAGCCTTGATAAACACCTCGTGAAATATACAGACATATCCCTCTCGCACTGCCAACCCCCCCCACCCCCACGCGACTCTGCTCCCCACTTACAGCGATGTGAGTGATTTCAGACCCTGGAAGGCATCTGGAGCAATGTCTGATATCTGATTCTTGCTGATGTCTCTAAAACACATTAATGGGAGAGTCTGAGAACACAGCTCCAAGGTGTGAAATGGTCATTCCTAGTTCTGAATCAAGCACTTCAGATATTTAAAATGGTGAGAATTAATCAGTTTATTCCTAGTATAAGAGAAAGGGCTTAAAGACCATTCAGTTCAACTGTGTCTCGACGAAATAGATACATTTGTTTCGCTCTTTCTTGGCTGTCAGAGAATGCTCACCCACCGCATCTTGACTTTGACATCTAGCTTTGTCCGTGTGAGCCCTCCCTTGGTAGGGAAGACCGCACCCGGGCACACCGGGGCCTTGCGGCATTACCAAGCAATTACAGCATAAACAAGGGCCAAACGAGGGCCAGGGTGCAGGCATGCATCTTCTTCTTGTCGCATGCCTCAGCCAATGTTGATTTCCTTCCCCACGTTGTTCTGAGTCATTTCACCTTCCCAGTGATCTTTTCTTCCTGACCTGAAAAGAGGTTTTGAGCAGTGACTTAAGTCTCTGTCTGGTTCGGGGCACCCTCCAGGTCACGTGAGAATCACGAGATTCTCATGGGATGGCTCTGAGATGTGGATCTGTCACTGGCAGGGCATGAGCCCGGGGGCGGGGGAGCGATGCCCAGGGCTGGGGGATAGCGGGGATGAGCGGGAGGCTGCGTGATGAGTGGCCCTGACCTGGCTCCTCCTCAGAGCCCAGAGGCTGCCCCTTTCCTGCAGCCCAGTGACTTCCGAGCCTCCAGCCTCTAGTTCTTGTTAATCGCACCTCACTGAGGCCAAAGACCTTCCGTGAGCCCTTAGCTTGAGTTTGGCCCCTGGGCTCCTGTCATTGGAAGGTGAGCTGCTCCAGTTTCCAGAGACAGTGCTCCTCTCCAGTTCTTAACTTTAACAAAAGAAATCAATGGGTCTTTGCTTTTGTGTGGGAGAGAGAGCGCTGGGGTCTTGGAGGGTCAACAAGGAGGAGACGAGGGAGTATGGAGAAGAAAGCACATCTAAGCAGAATCTTAAGCGACTGCCTCTGTTGAGGCCAGACACCCTGCCCCCAGCCTCTGAAACACACTCCCCGGGTCTGTTTCTCCCCTCCTTCTAATAGCCTTCAAAGGGCTGCGCAGCCACCTTTCCTAGGCCTCCGCTCCCTTCCCTCCCTGGTTCCAAAGCCAGTAAGTTGAAAGATATTTCACAGGTTAAGGCTTCTTAGGCACAGCTGTTGAGCTTATCCCTTTAGCTGGCAAGATCGCCTCTCACAAATCCGCAGATTGTGCTCACAAACCCGTCAGTTTACACCAGGCTTTTCTCCGGTGCTCCACTTTTGTAGAAGGGTCTTAACAAGCAAATGCCCAGGATTATCCCACTCCTGCTCGGCCTCTGCCTGCCTGCCTCGCAAGGCACGTCAGGCCAGCACGTGGGGTCTGTGCTCCCATCAGCCTGCTGAGCGAGCCTGGGGTTTGGTTTCGTTTTGCTTTTGGGCTCTCTTTTGTCTTCCTGATCATGGGATGTCCCTTCAAGCTCCTTAGAACTCTAGCCTGCAGGAGGAAGTTCTCGAACGCGGGGGTGGGGAGGAGCCCTCTGCTTTAGCCTCGTTGGGGTCAAGTGGTTTTCAGGCCACAGCTGGCCTTTCGGACGTGCTCTTCTCTATAGCATGGGAGGGATGTCTGGTGGTCTCGGAGATGATGGGGAACATTAAGTGGACTAGTGTTAGTTTAGCTGGGAATTGCCCCTGGTGGTCACTTCATCTTAGTTCTTAGTTCTGCAGAAAGCAAATGGCAGCCTGAAAAGGTGAAGGACCCAGAGCCACAGGTGACCTGACACAGCTATGTACTTGGCACCTCAGGTCTCCCCTTGCTTCCCAATGACGGATACACTAGGCAGTGGCACTGGACAGAAGGCAGGCTGGGAAAGGCTGTTGCCGCTCACTGACCTCCACGCGTGACTCCTCCAGGTCCACAGCAGGTGGCCCAGAGCTGCCTCCCGGAGTCTGGGTCACTCTTGGTCAGCGGTTCTCAAACATCACTAGGGTGTTTACTAAAGTGCAACCCCAGGGAGTCTGCTCTGGCCAGCAGGGGGAAGGGGGCTGGGAATCTGCATGTGTAGCCTATCTTCCGTGATTCCCATGCACATGGTCCCAGGGTCAGCCTTTAGGCCATTGTGCTTTCCAATCTGGTCGGTCTCAGACATACCCCAGTGCCCCAGGGTTTACAGACTGGGTCGCCAAGAGGCAGTGGATTTTCCAGATGGTTCAGAACCAAGGTGGCAAATTCCCTGCTGGCAAGGCTCAGAGTAGGGGACATAGCTGTGGGACTCTAGCAAGGGCTGGCATCTGTGGAATCCTAATGTATGTAAGAGCATGGAAATAGGAGACAGAAACGAAAGAACAGGACTTTCTGGCCAAACCACACAGCTGTGGCCCCTGTAAGCCGGCGCCACCAGGTAACCAGCACTGGAAGACCAGGGTCTCCTCTCTAGGGCCTTCTACTCTCCTCATAGGTGGCTTCTCTACTGTGATACTAGTTTTTCCCTGGAAACACTTTTTATACTAAGCTGCCCACGAGAAATAGGGACAAAGTCATCCCTTCCAGGACAATTCTTTTTTTGTTTTGTTTTGTTATTAGAGATAGGAGGAGGGTGTGGTTCACGTTTAGTTGAGGGGAAACTTCTGTTAGAGAGAATGGTCATATATACCCAGGAGGAATTCACACTTAGGGTTTTAAAATCCATTCTCACCAGGGGCCCTACTTCTCCCAAACCATCCTACTCCAGTCTTGGCTTGTGAAGTTCTGTTAATCAGAGAAATTTTTAAGTGGTCTCTCTTCCCCACCGCCATCTCCTTGGGGAAAAAAAGGGCATCATAATAAATATCAGTAGCATCAAAAGTGATCAAAAATTAAATTCCCTTCCCAGATCATGACTGAGAAGGTCTTATGAATTTTGAATGCACAGATCATGGCAACTCCAATGGGATGAAGAAAGGACAGTAAAACATAGCCAAGCTCTAAATTACCTGGACTTCACAAAAAATTAGAGCAGTAACTTAAATCATGCAAGAGATATAGGTTGGGGCAGTGACTGAACTTGTCATTTTTCATTGAAATTACTATCTGGCTGCATAATCAAGCTAGGCTTTAAAAATGAATTGGGGGGGGCGTATGGAGTGAGCTGGGGAAGTAGGGAGACCAGGAGATTAATGGTCCAAGGTTTTAAATATTAAGGCCTGTATTTATACAGCATCTCCAGCAAGAATGCTGCCAAGGGGAGGGTAAAAAGTACGTGCCCGGGGCTAACTCATTATGTTGGTTTCTACTGCTGGAATTGTACCAGGAGAAAATCTTGTTTGGTTTGGATTTCCAGGGAGATGGGAAGTTACCTTCCCAAGATTGTATGGTAAAGCCTACCAATGCCACTGTTTCTTGGGGATGTTTATTTTTAACATAAAAGAAGTCAGCAGACACTTAACCTCTTTAATGGAGGCCCTCCTACTCAAGGGAAACCGAAGAATCAGCTTTCAGCGGAAGGGCGTGAGATCGGTTGGTGCATATTTCTACCTGCTCTTTCTTCCTCTGTGGGGGCCAGAGAGGGTAAGGAACTGGGATGAAAACAGCATTTTGATTATTGGACTATGATGAATGATTTTGCTGCCTGGAAAAGGGAAAGGTGTCTCTCCTTCCCAGATTCTTAATATCTACGCTGGCAATGGCTGGACCATTTCTGAATCCCACTAGGCTCTCTTCTGAGCACCCTGGTCTGAGTGACTCACTGAGCGGGGCTCGGGGCAGTCACAGGCTGGGGAAGGGTGGTGATGATGGTGGTGCCACCATGGGGATGATGAGGGCCATGATGCCTGATGCTATGGTAGGGAAGGAACAGCAGTGTTGTTGTCCCCCAGGTACTGATAGGGTACAGTGGTGGCAGTGATCCTGGACACGGTGGTAATGGGGATGGTGGGGATAATCACAGGCAAGATATATATGCTTGGAGGATAAGGAAGGGCCCAAGGCTTCTTATTTCACTTAGAAAGACAGAAAGCCCTTACCATGGCCTAAAGGGCCCACAGGGTCTGGCCCCTACGTACCTACCTTCCACCACAATCCCCACCGCTGTCTCCCTCACCCTCCCGTCCTCCTTGCTGCTCTGCAAACCATCGGCATACGCTCCCCAGGGCTCTTCACTCGCTCTCTCCTGAGAGCTCCTCATTCCCACCCTTCATTTAGGTCACCTGCATGGAGAGGCCTCTGTGGGCCCTTCCTTTGTTTTACTTCCTAGTGCTTACCGATTTCTGGTATTTGTTTCTTTCCTGTGTTCTCCCACTCTGGTATGTAAGCTCCACGAGAGCCGACCTGGCTTTAGCGCACACTCCGTCCACAGACCCTGCGGTTCCTGCATGCGGCAGACGCTCACTCTCTGTTAGATGAGTGTGTGCGTGGCTATGGACATGTCGGTTAGGGCTCTGGAGACCGACACGAGGCCACTATCCCAGCTTTTCTGACATTCCTACTTCAGGTCCACATCATGAAAGCGAGGACAAACCAAATGGTGGTATGGGTTTCTCAGCCAGCTGAGGTCCACCTCTCACCCAGATGATCTTACTGTGCTCTAGCTGGAGAGACCCTGAGTTCTGAGGTGTCTAAATCTGTATACCTCAGCATCTGAAAGCAGCACTCGTGAGCCATACCTCTCCATCTCAGACAGCATTCCAGGTCCGACACTGAACTCTCCAAGAAGAATGTGACGCAGGCTGTCCGCTGGGCAGCTTGCCCACGACACAGGACACATCACCCCCCACATGGAAACATTGGCCTTGTCTCCCCCCAGGGAAAACTCACATTCGCTTCAGCTTCTTGTACTGGGTGAAGGCTCCAGGGGGGATGGATCTGATGGAGTTCTGTTCCAGGCGTCTGAGAAACAGAGCAGAGAAGAGTCAGGTAACCACCCACCTGTCTACAGGGGGTGGCTGAGGGCCTCGAGGACAGGATGGTTCCCCTCATCACCCGGCATCCATGTTGGTTCCAGAACACCAGGCAAAGACCATGTAAAAGCTAGAGACTCGTGTTCTGGTGGATGGAGCGCCCGTCCCAGGATCTAATGGGCTCTGGAAAAATTAGAAAAGTAATTGAGGATTCTGGCTCTTGCTTCTTATAAACCATCTTGGAAGGCAGAGGCCTTCTTCAAAAAAGCTGTAGCACCAGAGTGCTGAAAAAGTCAAAGGGATAAAGGGAAAAAGAAGAAATGACCTGTAGGCTAGCAATGCCCATTGGCCAGAGAAGCATGTCACCTTTCAGTTAAAGACTCAATCCCCCTGCCACAGGGGGACCAAACAGGCAGAAATGACAATGGCTGACTTCACTTCTGGTTTCTTAATTAAGGTATAACCCATTTATTAGTTTCAGGAGTATGATATACAGTATATAACAACATTAGATATTTGTTTCTGGGGTTTTTCAATGGGCTATTCTAACGTGCTGGAGAAACGGCCTTCAAGTCTTTAGGCTTCCAGCCTGACAGCCATCAAAATGGCTCCCTGGCACCCTGAGGGCTCTAGAGGCTCCAGCTGGACCACTCCCCACTCCAGGCTGCTGCTAGAATCAGTGGCGTTACCACCTTATAGACTTTACTGAAGTGCTTCCTCTCCTGGGACTCCAGAATAAGAAATGCTACAGGCCCAGGGCCCAGAACGCCCTTGAAGGTAAGGAGCCACGGGGAACAAGTGAGCATCTCGATGCTTTCCTCTCCTGCCTCTTAGATGACTTTCTGTCACCAAGAACCGGTGTGGTGGGCCATAGGTCTCCGTTAGAGGGGATGAGGGATGCCCTGGCCTCGGCTAAGGACTCAGCCTCTCCCAGTCCATCTCCCTTTTCTCCAAGGCACGGATATTTTCATCACCTCCTCATCTGGCATGGATGTCCCCTGAACCCTCGGCTGGGAAGATGCCCAAAAAAGCGTGTGCAGAGAGGGATGGTGGGAGCAGAAGGAACAGATGGGCGGGGTGGCTCCCTTGGAGGCTACATCTAGTGGGTGCATTTCTGGCAGGGATGAGCCCATTCATCTTGAAGAGTAATCCCCACTGCAGAGACGGGGAGACAGCCGTATTAATTTGTGCCTCTGCGATCTCATCTTCATTGGGGGAAGAGAGTATTTGTTACTGGAACCGCTAATGGAGCAGTTTGCCAGCAATTTTCCCATTTCAAACAACATCTTGGCCGCTAATGTGGAATGGTTTGTCAGGCCTACCCATAACACAGACAAATCACTCTCTGGGCCAAAGGAAGGGTTGGGGGCGGGGCAGGGCGGGGGGAAGGGTGGGTGGGAGGAGAGAGGAGCATCAGGACGGATCATTCTTGGCTGCTGGATGAATAGAGTCTACAAATGAGACTGCCACGGTCTATTAGGAAAGCCTTTGTGGCCTGCTGGAGGGGGTGGGGAGCATATTCTGCTGGGCACATGGGCACAGGCTGGCTGGATGGCAGCCCGGCTGGCTCACGGTAAGGCACAAGAGCAAGCCATCGGGTCTCGGAGTCTGGGAGCTCCTGCATCCAGCCACCCATGGAGGCAGCAGACTCGGGGCCAGCTGCCTTGACTGAGAAGTTCCAAGGACATTCTTGTTTTCCAGCCCAGCAGGGTTGAGCAGGGATCTCTCAGCCAAGGCAGCAGCTCTGTGGGTCTCTAGGACTACCAGTCAGGTGGAAAATGCTCTCCGGGAATCCTGTGATTCACCTGCCACGTCAGCAAGGGATCGTGGCTGGAGGATGCCACTGTCAGTAATGAGGCAACCCCCTCAGTTTTTGCAAGAGGACCCACCGCTCCCAGCCGCAGGCCAGGAGCCCAGGCGAGTCAGGTCAGCACCATGTGCAAGGTCAGCCAGCTCTCCGTGCAATTCATAATCAGTCAACCTCCACTTTACTGATGGGCGTAAGGCCAAGGGAGGGATGAACCAGTGAGCACCACGTGGTACCTTTCCCCAAGGAGCTTAATAATTTGGGGCCAGCAACAGCCCAAGATGGTCCATCAGAGAAGCAAGTTCCATGGCTCACAGAACAAACACGAAGAGCTACCGTTCATGAGGCCAAGTTGATTTGTGTCTGTTATCTCTTTTAATCCTTACATTTATGAGGCAAGCGGTGGTGGCCCCCTTTTGCGGATGCAGAAAATAAAACCTAGAGGGATCAGATAGCCTGTCCAGAGCAAGATAGCTAACAAGGAGCAGGACTGACATCTGTTTCTACCCATTGGACATACCACCTTTCTTTCTGAAAACAGAGAAACTGAGGCCTACAGAGCAAAGTGACTTCCCCAGAGTCACAGAGGCATTTGGGAGGGTAAGACCCCAGTGCTGATGCTGAGACATCAGGCAGCCTCTGCAGAGGTCGGTGTTTTGTACAAAGGCTGTAGGAGTTGAGGGAGACGCAGTACAGATGTGAATATCTATAAATATGCAAATAGAGTGCAAAGGTGTGGTTTTGAACAAAGAACACCATTCTCGGCAGGACGGCTCTGAGCATCCTGTACTCGGCAGACGTGCACACCCCAGGGGTGGCATTTGTCTCTGTAGTCTCTCTACTGCTCATGCTGCTGTGGGTCCTGGCTAGACACCAGAGTCCTTACGGAGGGCCAAGGCCATGGCGAGTGCCACGATGTGGGGGTTAACCTTGCCCCAGGGGGAATCAGAGTTTGGCAAGGGGTGTAGTCATGAATAGTCAGTTTCTTCAAATGCCAAGTAAAGATGAGGGTAGGGAAAGCGACAATAGTAAGAGCTAATAGCTATCAGGTGCTTGTAAGTCGGGCATTAGGCTACACGTTTTACATGCTTAATCTTAGTATTTACACCTCTCTGAGGCAAATCCTAGTCATTATCATCATCCCCACTTTAAATGTGAGAAAATGGAGGCTCAGAGATGTTAAGTCGCTTGTCCAAATTCACACAGCCAGGAAGAGCTATCTAGCCGGGATGACACCTGAACTCTCCATCCCATTCAACAGCCTGAACTCCATCACTGAGCTTTGCCAAATCCCATGTGGAACAGAGGCATGTCTATTTCCAGTCATTGCCAGCTCATCCTCAGGGAAACAGCCCCTTTGTCAAGGGGGTAAGCCCACAGTGCCACGTGTACACACAAAGTTTCTATGCAGCAGATAGCCCCTGGTGGGTTGGATATAGCCTAGAACAAGCATGTGAAGATCCATATTCCCAGTGACAAAATTTCGGAGGGAAGGATGAAAAGCAGCATTAGCATCAGCAAAAACTGTCACATTTAGAGAGGTGTCTGAAGCCAACAGCTGTTTCAGGTCTCTCTTAAACGGCACATGTGTCTTTCTTTGTCTGGCAAACATTCTTCAGGCTGCAAACTGATTTAATAGAACTAGCATCAAAACAAACATACAAATCAAACATCTGAACGTCTTCCGGCACCAGTAAACACAATGGGAACATCTGATGGGGATTTCAGCCATTTGCGCTCGGTATCGATTTGCCCTAGTTTCTCGGTGCTTCCTTAATGATCTGTCATTTGCAAACATGCGACTGAACACCATATATTTCTAGCAGCGCAGAAATCAACATGATGCCACAGAGACTGGCAGGGGCACGGCAGCGCCAGGTCATGGCCACAAGTCACCTGACAGAGCGGTTCTGGAGCAGGGTTCGAGTGCTGGTGGCGGTGATGACTGAGGGGACAAGAAGGACAAACATCTACCATCTCCTGAGGACCAGCTTATATGTTAGACACTGGGCTCTTTGCATGCTGGCTCATTTCATTCCTTCAACAATCTGATAAAGCAAGTATCATTATTAGTGTAATAACAAGAAAGACGCGGCCGCAGGCACATGTGACATGAGTCATTCGTAACCTGCTCTGCACAATACCTGGCATTTGCCTACAGAAAGCAGAGGAACAGGCACAGAGCCAGAGCTGCTCCTCTGATTCTATGCATATGCCCAGATGCCTCTCCCAGAGAATTTTTTTTTTATCACCTTAGGAAAAAAATGAAAGAAAAATAGTATGGGGAACTTGAGACTATAAACCATTCTACAATGTCGTACATGTGACCTGGTGAATAGGTTTTCTATTTAGGTTCCATTCAATGTCTTCCAAACATTGTGCTAATTTTCTGCACAACTGTGCTATTTAATCTTCATAGAAAATCTCTAGTAGGTCTGATGAGCCCCATTGTGCAAAGGGGGGAGCTGACTGAAGCAGGAGATGTTAAGAAAGGTGCCCTAGGTAAGAGGCAAAACTGGGAATTTAACTGTGGACCATTTATCTCAAGGCTCTGTTCCTAATTATTCTGTGCTTCCTCTGCTTCCCCTGTATACCACTGCCCCATCCCACCCCATCTCCCCTCTTTCCACATGGCAGTCCCTCAGAAACCTGGTGCCCTCAGAACGTTTAAGAATCCCAGATGGTGACAGCTTCCAGAACCCTCCAGTCCTTTTGTTCTGTTGGCTGCTTTTCCACCACCCCCCCCCTCTCTCTTTTTAAAATACCCTGGTGACCAGTATAACAGGAGAATATTTGCTTGTGTTAAGCAGATAAACCACTGTTTATCTCTTCACCCCAGATAAACAGGGGGGTTGAGGTGAGATGAGGTGCAATGTGGGGCTACTTTACCCCAGACGCTTTCGCTCATGACTTGCCAGTAAGCCCATCCATGGCCTTTCTCCATCAACTGAACTGAGCTGCTAGAGCAGAGGGCATGAGACACACTGGATGGCGCTGTGGGTTGAGGGGGACAGAGCAAACCGGAAGATGGAACACAGATTAAGGAGAAACTCTAGCTACAGAAGGTTCTCTTGAGCCTTGAGAAGGACCGTGGAGGGAAGACAGAAGACCACAGAAGAGAGAAGGTGTGAGCCTCTGGCTCTTCCCAGAAGAAGACCAGCTAGAGGCTAGAGCTGGTGGAGAGAAACGACAGGGAGTGGCAAGAATGGTGCTGTTGGTGGTAGCTCAGTTTCGAGGAAAATCTGCAGGGAGCTGCCTCACTGTGGGTTCTCTGGAAGAAAGCTATTTTTAGAGGAATTGGCTCTGCCATGCGGGGAGACCAGCATACAGTTCTCTGAGCTGCTTCGGCTTTGAAAAAAATTTCTAAAAGAGTTCGCCAGATTGCTTTGCATGAGAGATAGCTCTTCCTCCCTCTAAAATGTTGGGGAGCACAGAACCCCTCCTGAGGTGTTGGAGCACCACTGCTGGCTAAGGGTTGTGCATAGGGCCTGGAGCACCTGATAGGGTGCCCAGCATCCCTAAGGAGAGAGGGAAAGTCTGCATTGTATGCGTGCCATGGGCAAGTGGCAGAATTCTTGACAGTAAAAAGAAAAAGTCACATTCAGATGTCTTTGGGATGATAAATCAGACACTTCCTATTCATCCTGGGGTGCGTACTGCAATTTCAACTCTCTACTCTCTGTCTCATCTTTCAACCTCCCCCATCTGCTGGTCTTCTCTCCCTGCTAAGAGGATGCATTTCAGCTGCTTTCAAGACTTCTGGGCCAACACACAGGTCCCCAGGCACAGGCTTTGTCGCCTTGAAGAATGAGCAGGTTTCTTCCTCAAAGGTCTCTCTTACATGTCACCTCTCCCCATATATTCCGAACCAAAGAATCTTGCCTTGTCTGCTTTAATGTCTCAGCTTCATTTCATCACAGAAGGAGAAATCCTGGGCAATCTGTCTGGTGGGGCATGGGTGCTCGGGAAGCAGGGGCAGCCTTATTTCCACGTTTGCATACATTTGCATGAAGATGAGCCACTGTCCGGCTCATTCCTAATGCAACTGGCTAGCCTGTTTCTTGAACCTCTTCTCTCACCCAAAACCCTCAAAAGCCTGACGTAGCGTTATGGAAGGTTCGCGCATGCAGGTAGCTCCAGTGCCAATGATATGGTCCAACCCTTCTCACTGAGCCTAATACAAGCGGAAGTGGTAGTAGTTATACAGAGGTGGTATAGTACTAGTACTAGTACTAGTACTAGCAGTAGTAAAATACCAACAGTTCTGGCTAACAGAGTCTATCCTATGTGTCAGACACAATGCGAAGCATTTGGCTGCAAACATTCATTTCACTTTCACAAGCACTGTTAAGAAGGTACCATTGGCCTCTGCATGTCTCATTTGAGGAAAACAAGACTCAGAAAATCATTTAGCAAGAGTTAAAAGGTAGGGCCAGAGCCAGTACATGGAGCTAGCTCCCTGAATTCACCGTCTACACTCTTAAGAATCCGGTTGCTGTTTGTGGCTGTTTTTAGAAGCACTCTAGCTAGGTTGGTTATTCCCAGACTTTTAGATATCACAGGCTAGGTGGTTCCAGACCTTTTACTTTGCCAGTTAAGGTGCCCTGTGTGTTATATATGATACGTGTTTATACAGAGACATACATTGATAATTACGTAATAATTATACATGTAATTACACACATATTTGTCATGGACCTGTGCGTAGGCACACAAGCATATGTATTCTGCCTTCAGCGGCCATCATTTCATAAGATAATGGGCATTTTTAAAAACAACAATAACAGAATAAGGGAGCCCAGGAATTTAAAATAAAGGATAGTCCTTTAAATTGACCAGTTTTGCTCAACAGAAAAACATCACATTGTTTTTGTTTTTCTCACTTTACCTCACATCAGGAAAAAGATATCAGTGATCAGAGAGCCTTTCAGAAATCACTACACTAGTTTGTTAATATCCCTTTAAAAATTTGGTGTCCAGGTATGAAGTCAAGAGTCCAGGTATGGCTGGGTCTGCGTGGATCCCACCTCTGATGTGGACATCTGCACTTTCTCTCTCCCAGACACCTGAGCTCTGTGCCTGTGAGGCCCAAGTTGGAGGTGTAAAGATGGGGAGCAGAGAAGGGGCTGGTAAGGGTCAAGTTACCGCTTGACTACTAGACTGGCCTCTTTCATTAGGCTGTGGTTTGAGGAAAGATCTATGGTTGTCGAGGAGGGAAGATAAACCTGGCAGATGGAGGGAGAAAGGAACAAAGTGGGGCAGAGAAAGAAAGCAAAGATCTATGGGAATCTGAAATGAGATGAATGTGGGCAAGAATTCTGTCTTGAACATCTGTCTTGGGAGAGCCAGAGTCCTACCCTGGCGTGGATGGAGAGGGAAGGTGGAGGTTCTTATGACAAGGAGCCAAGTGTTAACTGGGTGAAGAGGAAGATGGGGCTGGGAAGGGAACTGGGAGGATCACGGGTAGGAGAGGGAGAGAAGGGGGGAGTGAATTAGGGGAGGAAAATGAAGACAAGGGAAACAGTATGGAAAGGAGAGAGCATAAGGCCAGGAATAAAAGGAAACGGGAGAAGAAGAGAAGCAAGGGGATGAACAGGAGAGGCATGGTGTCTAAGTGAGCTCCACGGAAGGAAGGGATCTCCAAGGCTAGAGCAATAGACCCTGAGGAGTGAAGGGAAATGGCAAAATGTGAAGTGAATTAATTGTTGGTTGTTGCTGAAAGGAAGACTGAAGGTTGAGAGAAGACCACACAAGGTGTGGGTGTCAGGACAAAAGGACGCTTGACAGACTAGCTCCTGCCCATAGGAAGAGGTGCAGGCATGAGTTACATCCCCCAGGGCTGGGGAAGAAAGTTTTAAAGGGAATTAGGGAAAAGCTGGTAAAACCAATGAAGAAAGAGGAATCCGAGTCTTCACTCTGGTAAATCATGTTTCTTCTCATCTCAACCAGGATGAAAGCAGAGTTCATAAAATGCTCCCCTGATCTGGCTCCACATTGCCTCTCTGATCTCATCCTCCAACACTCTCCCTTGTGTTTACTTCACTCCAGCGACACTGGCCTTCTGGTACAGCAGACACACTTCTACCTCTGGACCTTTGCACGTGCTGTGCCCTCGACCTGCAATACTGTTCCTCCACATAGCCACTTTATTTTCTCCTCCCTACTTACTTTGAATCTTTTCCTTGTTTTATTTTCTCCACAGAAGCTACCCCCTTCGATCATATCCTATAATTTGCTTTGCTTTGGTTATTGCTTATTACCTCCCCTACCCCCCACTAGAATGCAAGCACCATAAAGGCAGAAATTTTATCTCTTTTATTCACTGATGCTCCTCAAGCACAAAACTGTGATTGGAACACAGTGGGCTAACAACACATGTTTGTTGAATGAACGTATGAATGGCTAGAAGAGTTAATGGGCCATCTATCAGACCAGAAGGGCATGCGTAGGAGGAGGAAGGCGGGAGGAGAGCAGCAGAGAGGCTAGGGGAATGTGTGTCTTATTTGGAGGATTTTATCCAATGATATCTGGAGCAGGAGGGTTGTATCTCACTGTGTTTTTAATAAAGCCACCTAAAAGTGAAGGTAGAACATGAACACACTTGTGGTCATTTAATTTAGTGAATCATTTCATTTAATGAGTGATCTTGACGTCGGTGTCGACTGACCCTCTACTCGATCCAGAAGGAGAAACCGGCTATCACCTAATGCGCAGGGGAAGCGTAGACAAGATTGAGCTATACAGTCAACCAATTTTTAGTGGAACTTTTAGTGGATCCGTGCACACACGTGGACACGCACAATCTTGTCTGTGTCACCTACAGACCGAGTCTAGAGGACAAGAATCTGATTTGAAATGATTAATAGTTCAGTCTCTTGTTCAGTTAATGGCAGCCATGAAATGAGTTCGTCACTCATGTACTTTCTGCCAACACTACCACACTGCACAGAGCACTTGCTCATGTGCCAAGGACCGAATTAAGGGCTTAAGCGCTGTATTTCACTGTTTCCACAGTGACCCATGGATGATACTATAATTACCACATTGTTAAAGCTGAGAGAACTAGAGATGGAAAGAGAGCAATTATGCTGCCCAAAGCCACACAGCTAGTGGAGGGTAGAGCTAGAATGTGATCCCAGGGCGGCTCCAGGGAAGGGACTAGCAAACTCCCACCATAAAGGACCAGAGAGTACACGTAACGGGGCTGGGTGGGCTGTAGGTCACAACTACTCAATCCTGCCTTATGAGGACAGCCACCGACAATGCCTACACAATAGGTGTGGATGTGTTCCAAGAAAATTTTATTCACAGAACTAAGTGTCGGAGTATTTGGACCCCTAGGCAGTTTGCTGACTGCGTTCTGGAAACTACCACACCTGGGAGAGCCTGGAAGGATAGCAAAGAGATTCCTAAGTGTTCTCCATAGTTAGCTCTGACAGGCCATCGTGCTGCCAGACCACTGGGGGACTGGCTGAGACGGAGAGGTAAACTCGCCAGGGACAGAGAGTGGCAGATGGGGCACTTACATTTCGACGATGCCCTCTGGCAAGTTGGCGGGGATCTCAGTCAAGCCCTTCCCTCGACAGTCCACGATGTTATTACTGCAAGTGCAGGCCGAGGGGCAGGAGATGGAGTTGGCATTGCAGGATGGAGGTTCTGAGTGCGGGCCTGTCGGGCAGGAACACAGTGGTCAGTCACGGCAGGGTCAGGAGCTGCCTGGCCTTCTGTGCCCCTTCACCACTCCCCAGCATTACCTGAAAAGCCACCTGAAACACTTTCGCCAGCTGACATCTCCCCTCAGCTGGGAGACACAGCTGCCCCTGGCTAAATATTTAGCCAAGGGGAGAGATTCTGACCTTGACCTGCTTCTGGACTGTCCCACCTGCTCTGTCATCCCATCAGCCTCGTCTTTCAGAGAAAGGGTTGCTCACAGAGTCAACCCCGCGTGAAAATATGCCACAGGAATGCAAACAGCATACGCTGGGACTACGCTCTCAGCCCAATGTTTGAATGAACACCCACGTTCTTTGGCTTTTATTGGAGGACTGGATGCTGAACATAGACACATTTTCATTCTTTTCTCTAGAGGCTAGAACTCATGACTAAAACCAAGTGGGAGGAAAAAAGGCGTCAGAATTTCATTCTTTGGGGCACTGATGTTGTCCAACTGTCAATAGTCACCAGCAGTGACAACATCTAAGACATTTTCAAACAGCTTGTATGTCCAGAGAACATGCAAATAAAACCTACCTCATTGGAAAAAATGGTAAATAAGTTACTACATATTTTGGAGTTAGTTTTTCGTTTTAAGGTGCGAACCGGTGTGAGTTTAAAGCAAAGTAGTAAAAACTCGAGTACATGGCATCTAAGGCGCTTACTTAGAATATCAAATGCAGAGAAGTACATATATTAGCAAACTAACTCAGGGTTCAAACAGTCACAAGCAGTGAATTCAGATGTTTTCAAGACCAAAAAACTTTCATGCTATCCCTATTTCTTCAAAGTAAGGCAAGAATCTCGAACCTGTGGTTAGTTTTCCAAATGACGACATTGTGGCCCAAAAAGTAGACTCAACCCCAAACCTCCTCAGGACTTTATATCCCACACCGGCTAGATCTAGTCAGCAGGGGTGCTGTTAATGTCTTTCCAGACCCCCAGCCCCAGAGCAGAGGACCACGGGCTGGGTAAGCTCAGACCAACCCTGCAGATCTCCTTGCTGCTTGGACATGGGACTTCCAGCTGGGAGACCTGGGAAAGAGATGAAACATGAAACACAAAAATGTCGGCAGGGAAAAACTAATTTTGGTGTGGCCTCTGTTCACTGGAGAAGCCAAGTCTGGGAAGCCAGAGAGGGTCTGGCTACAGTGGTTGCATCAGAGACCAAGGGGGCCTACAGCAAATGCCTTTTCAGACGCTGAGACTCCAAGTGGAAGGCTCCCTCTCCACACTCCCTCTCCACACTCGACAGTCCCTGTGCCTGGGGCAGGCCCTTCTGCAAGGGCTCAAAGGAATGCGGAAGGCTTGATGTGGAACACTTACCTCGCTGGACAGTGTTAACTCAAGAACCAAAGATTCTTATTTCCTTTGGCTCATCTCTCTCTTTCTCTCTCTCTCTCACACACACACACAGACACACACACAGACACACACACATCAAATATTTAAAAATGTCCTCCTAGCAGGGACATTTGAGAAAATATTCTTGTCAAGGGCACAAGGATTTCAAACTCTCCAGTGTTGCACTAGCGGATTTCATGGAGACCAGAAAAATGCTGGAGAGATGATGACTTATACCGAAGTCCCCAACTGGAACATTCTCTGAGAGAAGGGATACCAACTTAGTTTGAAACTGGAGAAGTTTCCCATTTCTGAGAAAAATGGCAATTCCAGAGAATCAGTCTGTGAGAGCCTCAGATCAGGAATAAGAATGCTGTGGCCCTGGAGTCCCACTGCCTCAATTTGAATCCTGGTTCTGTAATTTCATCCTTATATCCTGGCCTCAGTTTTCCCCATCTGTGAAATGGGGGAAGATGACAATATTTATTTCATAGCATGGTTTGGTTGTGAAGGTAAAGGAAGTTAATGCATGTGAAATATTTAGAAGAATGCACGGCACGGAGTCAGAGTTTAGTACTGTTAGTTGTTATTATCATTACTGAGTCTGGCTCTGCCACTAATGGTCTGCAAGTCATAATGCTCCTCTGAGTTTTTTTGCTTTGATCTCAGTCAATAAGGAGTTTGGACTGCATGACTTCTGAAGTCCTTTCTGGATGGAAAGATTCATGACTCCTGGTTTTCAGAGGAAGGGAAGCAGGAGTAAGACACCCAACAGCACCTCTGCATCCCTGGCTCCACCGCTTTGCAGGTGGTCAGGGGGATCTATTGTGGAAAGTGCTCCCTCCCTCTCCCCACATGCAAGAGAGGCTGGGAGAGGCATGGCTTCAGGTGTCAGGGCTTTTGAAGTGCAGATCATGCTCCCCAAAGAAAAATGCCAGGCCTGGCCCTCCAGATCCTGGGGCAAAGGGCACCTAACAAAGTCAGGGAGAGTCACACCCTGGGCACCTTCCTGCTTGGGCAAGTCAGGGGCTACACGGAAGGCTGAAGTCTGTGCCCTTGAACTTCCATCCACTGAGGCAGAGGGTATCAGGTGGTTGCCCATCTTTTGATCTGTAAAAATATTACCTGGTTGGGGTGTGTCAGAAAGGGAAGTCGGGGAGAAAGACAGTATAGTCAAGGGCTCATGTGGGCAACAGGAAGTTCCGAAATGGAGTCCCCCCCCCCCCAAAATGCCCCTTTTGACATCTATGCTGAAATTAAATCTGTTTAAACCAGACCCAGGTTGTAGTCTGGAATCCCTCTGGGATGAGCTGGGTCTTTCAGAGGGCGGCTTTCATTCTGCAGGCGGCATGTGCTACATTTCAAGGGATGTTGTCAAGGTAAAAAAAAAAAAAAAAAAAAAGAGCCTTTGAAAAAGATTCCGTAACCAGGTCACTAACAACACCTTTAATTACAAAGAGAGAAACAAAGGTATTTATAGCCTCTGTTGGCATCCTGGGCTGGCAGCTCCCAGCCAGGCATTCACACGTGGTAAGGGTGTTATCCTCTTGTTGAAACAAACATGTCAGGTTTAAGATGGGGTTGAAAGATGGGTTCATTTCCCCTGGAAACCTTCCCCTCTGATCAACGTCCGATGGACTGAGCCCACTTCCCTTTGAGCCTAGGAGTGCTGTGATGGCAGAAGTCCCTCCCCTTGGCTTTTGGTCTTTGGAGAGACGGCAACTAGCATATAAATTATATAAGGGCAGTGACCTGTTCTGTCTTCTGTCCTGTTCCATCCCCAGTGCCCAAAATAGGACTGAAACACAGAACAGGAACTCAGTAAACATACCTTGGGTGAGTAAAAGGATGAACACATGGATAAAATTGGTCTAGAAGCCTGGCAGAGTGGGGGCTGAATGTCACCAAGCTATGTGTGTGTGGGGGGGCAAGCAATCCTTCTAGAAGGGTCCTGAGGGGAGGTCGCCTGAGTTCTGAGGGCCCTGGGCTCTGGTTGATAGGCTCCACCGTAGTGTGGAGGGATGGAGTGGCTATTAGGTGGATGGGACTTTCATGCCTGAAGTTCAGGTCTTTCTACCACAGCTCAGTGCCAGCAAAGGCCAACTGCCTAGTCCCCTGGGGCTCCCTCTGAGCCTTGCTCACCTGCACAGGTAAGAGTGACCCAGGCTTCCCTTAGTTCTGTCAGCAAATCCCTCCCTCCCAGCCTCTCCTGTCCACATGCGATGGGGTTGGTGCAGGTGACAGTGGATTCCCAGGGGGACAAAGTGATGAAACACCCACCTTTCTTCTGAGAAATTTTAGGAGTACTGTACAAGCTGGGAAGCAGAGAGGAATGAAAACAGAGTATTTTGATCAGGGTGGAAAGAGTCTCCACCTGTCTTTGAAGGGAGGGGCTGATCTGGGCCGGTGTCTGCCTACACACACGGGCCTGTTCCTGTTGTAGGAACATGTGCCTACGCCGTCCGCGAACGTTCATGGTCCCGAGCAAGCCTGCCTGCTGCTACCACCTCCTCCTCTTCCTGGCAAAGAAAGCGTTTAAATCAGAGTGTAGTGATTCACTAGCACGCAGAACCCCTGTAGTCCACGTTCGGAGATGTTTCGTGATGAACTTGGGAGAGCACATGAATTTGCTCTTTGTTTTTAAATGGGTTCCTAAACTATCTTCCCTGAGCACTCTTTCAGTGGGATGAAAATGTTGCTGCCTTGAGGCGGAAGGAAGTTCTCATCCAGAGCAGGGAGAGGGGGGTATGGGCCAAGTACCTGTCTGCCCTCAGGGCTTGTCTCCCCTTTCTGAATCACTACTGGGAATTTCAATGTGGAACCACAGCCCCCTTGGTGCCACACAAGGAGCAAACAGAGACGTCCTGCCTTCTGGTGTCTCCTGACTCCTCAGACCGTGGTCTGATGTCTTGAGGGAGGGCAGGGCAGAATGAAGGGCAAGATGCTGGCCCTTCCCTGCTCTTCCCTGAAGGCCATCATGAGGCTGCTGCTTCCCGGTGCGGGGAGGGGGCCCGCAATGAGCACGAGGGCAGGAATGTGTCCCTGGCTAGCCCTGTCACGGGGAAGTGCCTGTGACAGCTGGCATGGACAGCGATCATGTCATCCTGTCTCTGCTGACTGCACCACACCCCTCTGGTCTGAGAGAGGAGGAGGAGGAGTGATGACTGGGGAGACTGGCTCCTGCCGGCTGCCTCCTCAACTTTGTTCTTCTACTCAGCATCGTGCCAAAAGGGGAAAGTCCTAACTCGTGCCCAAAAGAGTGGGGCCAAGGTCACCAAACTTCAGACCTAAAAAGGGCCACGGAGATGGTGAGGAAACCATCCCTTGGAGGAGAGTACTTGCCCAGGGACACAATGGTGGCCAAACTAAGAATGATGTCATTCTCATAATAGCAGCTAGGGCTTAGGGACAGTTCCCTATGTGCCCCATATTTCATCCAGTGCTTTGCGGGCATGATCTCACTGGGTTTTCACAAAATCTGTGATACAGGTTCTAATATTATTCTTATTACTTCCATTATACCGATGAGGAAAGGGAAAAATAAGGAGGTCAGGCAAACTGTTCAAGATCACGGAGCCGGTGAATGACAAAGTTCTAAAATTTGGTCCAGTGCTCTTTGTACCACCTCCTCTACCAAAAAGACACCCAACACCTCTCTTTATTGCCATGATACTGAAAACCGTAAGAGCCTGGCAATCTCAGGAGATAGGAAGAGGAAGCTCAGGGGCCAAGACACAGACTGTGTAAGCAATGCTGGAGATGGCAGGACACTCTTGTTAGAGCTGTGTTTATTCCTTTCTGTCTTTAAAGGGACTCCCACCCAGCAGAGTGCACAGAACTGAAAAATCCAATGGCCTCGTGAGCATGTGGAAATAAATTAATTCCCGCATTCAAATTAAGCATCCCTGTTGGCCTCTGGCCTTTCAAAAGCCAACAACAGACTGCAATGACAATGGGGCTTGAGCAATTATGATGAGAATATAAATGAATGTGATTTAAATACAAGAGGCATGATAATTTTAGGAATGGCTAAATAAACCTAATAATCTCATTCTTGCAATGTCCAATTAGGGTGTTTTAATTAAAACCTCCTAAGGAGATGGGCGGCTAGTCATGGCTTACCTTAATTATCTTTATACTTAGTAACTAGTCCTAAATTAAAAAAAAAAAAAAAAAAAGGAAGGAAGGGGAAAGTGTCTTGTTTCCAGGGAGATATGCCTATTTCATTTTTAATGATAAATGAGGAAGGATTTCTTGAGAGGCTTTTAAGAGCAAGTATTGTTCTAGGCATTGGGGCACCTGAAAAATGTCTGATGTGAGCCTTTCATACTAGAAGACAAGACTGACCTTCAGGAAAGAGTATCTCACCCTCAAAGACTATGCAGAGGTTAAGTGTGAAACAGGTGGACAAACCAATGAATACAAAGATGTCTAAAGGAAAGAGATAATTGACTCAAGGGGTCAAATATTTAACTAATACCCTTGAATTACAAATTGTGACCAGTAGAAACTTTCAGATTAAGGAACCAGAAAATTAATGCATGGAAGATAAACCCTAGAGCTTAAACCCCAACATAAACCCTTTAGGTAAGGATGGGCTAAAACCCAGAACTTGGAACGCACATGAGTCCAGTAATGGCCAAAGTAGAACCTTTTCTCTGGCCTGTTCTTATGAACTCAATAAAGTCCCAGTCCCGTTCAGGCAACAAACAGCAGGGGCCACAGCCTCTTCTAGTCCTAGGGCCCTGACCCTCTTCTTAACAACAACAAAAAAATTCACAGAGGAATCCTTGCAGCAGTGGCTGAAGGAAACTGAGCAGTCCAACTGTATACCTGAGAAAACGTTAATAAAAAATAAAATACAGTCTCCCACCCTTTGAAAAATTCCTAGATGTCTCCTTAGAGGATGAAATAAATACCTTCAATCGGAAGGGTAGGTTGACAGAGGAGATGAGTTTGGCCAAAGTGCCCTGCTAGCCAATTTCTGGGTTAGCTGGAGCGATAAGGCGCCCGCTGCCAGCAATCCTGGGGAGAAGAGGCCTGGCTCCCGTCGGCTGGATTTCATTCACAGGGAGATAGCGGGGACTTGAACAGGCAGGGCCCGCCCAGGCTGAGCGAGATAAAGCTCTTTCCTGTCTCTGGAGTCAAGTGTTGAGCGAATTTTTTGATATGGCTTAAGGGCCCTGGAGGTTTTCTGACGCTTCCCTGACAGGGGCCACTGGTGATGAAGCTACACGCGGGGATGGCTTATTGGTGCCCGGGCCTTTTTCTCTCCCAAGCAGATGACCTCTAGCTTCACAGAGATGCTCTTGCTCCTGCCTCTCTCCACGGAAGTCCTCCTCTGGGGAGTCACCGGGGGAAGAGCCTGAACAAGGAACACTGATGGTTTTGCAGTCTACAACCGATGGGGTCAGATTCCTACCAAACGGCCACACGCAGATGCCCTGTGGGCTCTGCCACGGGTGGAGCCCGCACTCTAGCCAGTGGGTGTTGGGGTGGGGGACGGTCGGTGCGTGAAAGCAGCCCTCCGCGTTGGCCTCCTGAGTGTGCACACACGGGGTCTTGCTCCACGAGGCTTCCTCTGCCATCCCCCGAACATAGCCTCACAAACTACCTTTAACAGTTATTAAAGAGGTCGAACCTTCCGGAGGCGATGTTCCTCCTGCACCCCACTAAGATGGCGGCGCTTCCTTCGTCGGAGACAGTCAATTCAGCCAACCATGACATCTGCCTTGGACCCTCAAGGAAGTCAACCCCCTGCGCAGCATTCTGTTTCTAACCCATGAGAGCCTGGAGAGCCTCCAAGAATCCCTCCCGCAGAGGGCTTCCCACCCTGAATTTCCCACAGTACATTTCTCCTATGAGGGGTGCAGGTGAACGGCGCATTCATGTCTGGAGCCCGGGGGCCAGATGCTTATATCCTCAGAAAACACCCAGCTTCGTCCTACCAAGTGTGAGGGATCACCACGAGCCCTGGGCTTAATGGATATAAACAGGGGAGGCAACAGGGTCGCTTGTACTGAACCGTTAACCCACCTGCTAGATCTAGCCTTTTCGAAGCAGGGAGGTTTAGGGCACGAGCACGTCCAGGACCTGGGAGGGTCAGCCTCTCTCCCTGACCAGGATCCAGGGTTTGGATCCTGATGGTGACAGTGACAGGGAAGCAAGCTGCCCCTCCTTGGTCGGGAAGGTGCTTTCCTGACGAGGTGGTACGCGTGTTGGCGTGGAGCGTCAGCCTGGCACCCACCGGTAATGATGTGTTTTCACGTTCTCTCTAATTAGTTTTTCTCACTAGCTCTTGGATGACTCCTGCACTCTATAATTATTTCTTTCACTGGCACTTATGCCGATATTGTACTCTTTGCCTAATAATTACTATAATTATAGTCAGTGTATGTGAGTTGGGTGCCTGTGTGATAAACGGTTTTATTATATGTGTTTGACGGGAAGTGATTTCTAAGTGGGCGTCTATAGGAAATTATTAAGGTGCTGCTCTGAGACATGTTAAAATGTTTTTGGATAATAAATAACTTGATGAAGTAGTAACATGACAAGAGAGAGCAGGAGGGAGCACGAGATGAAGTTGAATTAAAAAAAAAATCGTCCGTTGCCAATGCCGCCTAAGAGCAGAAGGGGGCCGGTTTGCACTGCTGTCTGGGTTGGGGCCCTGCAGCACACGTGGGGCTCAAGCTGCCTTCAATTCTGAAAACAGCACTGGTCAAGAAATGTCAGGGGTGCACTTCCTTCCCTCCCACCCCAGTGCTGAGGTCCCTCTCCTTCCTCCTTCCTTTAGGCCGACCCCCTAAGATGAGCTTTCAGAGGCCACTGGGCTCCTGTTTCGGGATTGGGTTCCTGGAAATCGGGGATGCCTCTGTGAGAGACTCAACTGAATACTTTCTGTTTTTGAGGAAATTCAGGGATTGGCTCTCCTTCTTTGCCACCAGAAGAAGAGAGCTGGTGGGAATGGAAGGTGTCAATGAGAAGTAAAAACAAATAAGCAAACTTGGAATTGAGGACTTGGTTTAAAAGCCACTACATCCTCTGGGAAGATCTTCTCGGGTTGCTCAGCCACCTCCCATCCCTGGAGGTCTGCGCTGCCTTCCGTCCTGTGCACAGTTCTGTTTCCTGTACTAGACACTCTGTGCTTCTATTACACTTCAGTTACCCACAGATCAAACTCTGCTGTTGGCTCAACGCACTTTGTGGGTCCACTAAACTATAAAAATTAAGCTCCATTTACTAGCTCTCACCAAAGTGCTGAGTATTATGCTAAGGGCTTTCTCTGCATTATTTTCATTTAATCCTCCCACCCATCCCTAGAGTTACGTACTATGATTTTTCCATTTTGCAGACGTGCGGTAATTTGCCAAAGTCACACACTACTGAGGGGCAGAGCTAGGGTTTCCAGCCAAGCAGACTGACCCCCACCACCTCCACTCACTTGTCTCTCAATTTCTATGAGCAATTAGATAATAGGCAAGTGTTTAGGAAATGCTAAACAATGCACTTAACACATGTTAAGTTTCTTAGCATCGATGGACTACGAAGCTCAACAGAAAGTGATTCGTGACTTCGTTGAGCAGTTTCTTTTACTGGATGACAAGAGCTTCTTTCTCAGGACTCTAGTCAGGGCGCCCCAGAGTCCAGGGGACTGTGCGGTGCTGGGGAACCTAGGAGATTCCACGCCCAGGTCTGGGCTCGGTGTGGGCTCATGCCCGCAATGATGTCAGAGTGGGCTCGGCGGTGCGTGGGTCACAGCACAGAGGAGAGAGGGGCGGGGAAAGCTCACCTGGACACACGTACTCCTTCTTCTGCACATCTGCCACGTTGAAGCCCCTCAGGTGCACAGGAGCCATGCAGAGTGTGAACTGGCCAACTGTCCGCCGCTGTCGCAGCCAATCCGAGAGCCAGGCCAGGTGGCAGTCACAGTACAGGTGATTGGAGTGGAGGCGCCTGGGAGAAGGAGGGACAGAGGTAAGACTCTGTCATGGCCTGAAGTGAACATAGCAGGCCAAACCTCCGTGCCCCTTTGCCCGGTGTGATAATCCTCAGGAGCCCCGGGAAGCATTTCCCTCTGCACTCGTGAGTTACCACGGGAGCCTCAGCCCTTTATTGCCAAACCACAAATGACTGTTATCTTCACGTGCAGGCCACAACCAACGGATGCCTCTGGGGTTCTGAGCAAGTCCCCATTTCTTAATAGTAATTCCACCTTTTTTTTCCCCACTCAAGAAAGCCTCAGCATGTAGAAGGAGGAAAAGTGATGTTATTAAAGCAATGGTTCAGATGCCAGTCAAACTTCCAAAGAAGTATGCAGATTTTAGGTTGCAGATTTTAGGACTATAGTTAGCCTGGGCTCCCGATAGCCTGAAACGGCTCTGCAGTCTCAATGCCTCAGTCTATAGTGGCACTGTGGCCAAGACCTGCCATCGCCTTCGCTCTTTCTCCTGCATTTCCTCCCTACAATGAATGAACACCCTACCCCCACCCCAGGAATACTGGGAGGCTTGTGTGCACTGGCCCAGGGAGCAGGGCATGCCGGGAAGGGTCCTTTCTGTAGGAGGCATCTTTTCTGCATCTACCCCATTAAAAGATTTTATTTATATACTTGACAAAAAGAGGGAGAGAGAGAGAGAGAGAGAGGGGGAGGAAGCAGGCACAGCAGCAGGTAGAGGGAGAGAGAGAAGCAGGTTCCCTGCCGAGCAGGGATCCTGAGGGGGCTCAATCCCAGGAGCCACTGATCATGACCTGAGCTGAAGGCAGACACTTAACTGACTGAGCCACCCAGGTGACCCTACCCACCTCCATTTAAATAAGGAGCTGCCCATGGCAGACTCCTGGAGCCCACTGCAATGTCTCCACAGTGCCCTCTTCTTCTTCTCAAGTTCAATTACACCAGGTATATTTGCTATTCTGGTTCAGGTGCCCCTGGAAAAAACTCTCTTAGCCGGTTCCGGGACTCTGTGGCTTTCCCCCTCCAGTAGCTGTGATTCCAGATCAATTTCTTGCCTCTGAGTGATTAAGAGTTGCTAGAGGGATCTGCATGTTCTACTTCTGAAAGGAATCCCATCTGGTTAAATGACTTGAATTTACCTTCCATTAATTGAGGGGCAAACTAAGGATATCTAGGGGTTTCTACAGGTTCTTTCCTAAGGTTTTGCTATCGGGGGCTTCCAATTTCCATATTCCCCACAACCCTAGGTCATTAGAAGTGGTGGTGTTAAGTTTTAGTCACATCAGCTTATCACACACTTGGGTTTCTGCTGCGAATTTCAAGCGCCCAATCCTGGACATGCTAATCAGCCAGTAGTATCTTGAGACTTTCAAGTGCTCTGTGTCAAGTTGGTTATCATTGAGTGGCGGCCTGAATCAGTGGCTTGGCTACCTCCATGCCTGAAATGGAGAGCTCTGAAGGGCTCTTGACTACACTCCACTGAGCATAAAGTCAGCATTGCTCAGCATTGGCCACGTGCAACCAACTGGAGGGGCGTGCCGGCAGAGCCTTCCTGCCACGGTGTGGGTGCAAACCTCGGGCAGGCCAGGGCCACCCGAAGCCTCAACAGCCTCAGGGGGTTCCAGATCCCATCGTTTCTGACCAACTAAATGAACCCATGCCCATGAAGAATATAATTCTTTTTTTCTGCTAAAAATTTTTGAAAAGATTTTTATGATTTTTGTTTCCAAATGATTAATTTTGATGTTGCGATGTTCTTGTGGATTTCAGAGTCAATACTTTAAAGTTGAACACATTTTCAGAGGCTCCACAGCCCAAGATCCTGTGCCTGAAATGGGCCCCAAGCAATTCTCCCCTTTGAGTTTCAAAGCTCAGACCCCTATGCCGCTTCCTCTTCATCTGGCGTTTCAGAAAGAGGTGCTGCCAGCGGGAAAGGGTAGGGGAGGCACAATCCTAAACTAGGGGAAGAACATGAAGGAGATAAGGGAATTCCTTTTCTATCCTGGGCCTTCTTGGAAAATTTCAGCATGCGTGAAAATGATCTGCTTCCTGACCTATCAGTGAGCTGTAGAGAGAGACAGACAGATGGACAGGAGGAAGAAAGAGAGGGGAAGAGGAGCAAGAGAGAGAAGGGATGGGGTGTTGGCTCTGTGGCCGGAAAGAGACCACTGGTGTAAAGACTGCCGAGGAAAATGGCGACAGTGACAAGTGACGGTGTCAGTGACAAGGTAGAGCAAAGGCAGGTCGCAGTGCCAGCATAGGCTGGGGTGCTGGGAGACTTCTGTGTGTCCAGAGGATCAGAGCCTTCTATACAGAGTCTGGCTTCAATGAGGAAAGGCGGTTGCCTTCTTTGGCAGTGACGTATGGAAGCTGAGCAAACAGGGATTCCTATGAAGGGCAGAACATGGGTCCACGAGGTAGATCAATGTCAACGACTTCCCATCAGTTCCCATCAGGCATAAGAGATCAATGGAATGGCTAAAGTGAGGTTTAGGTCAGTCAGATCCTTATTAAGCAGATTAATTTCTGGGAGACTGAAAATGTTGGAGGTTTTCCTTTTGGAAGATGATGTTAGGTTGATTCTTTCTCAATCCCTGCAAGGTGGCCCCAAGCTACCTTTTCTTCCTTACCTTCCTCCAGATGGTTCCTAACCCTCTGTCTGCCTTTGCGGGGATTCCTCCACTTCCAAGAGGGACCGTGGAAAACAGGTGACCAAAACAGACCTAGAATCCACCTAAAGGGTCTTGCCAAAAGTCTAGAGCAGTGGATGGGCTCACAGCCTCCCACCTGCCTTAGAATTTTTTTTTTTTTTAAAGATTTTATTTATTTATTTGACAGACAGAGATCACAAGTAGGCAGAGAGGCAGGCAGAGAGAGAGGAGGAAGCAGGCTCTCCACGGAGCAGAGAGCCCGATGTGGGGCTCGATCCCAGGACCCCGGGATCATGACCTGAGCCGAAGGCAGAGGCTTTAACCCACTGAGCCACCCAGGCACCTCCCACCTTAGAATTTTAACCGCCGGGAGTGCTGGCAGAGTGGAGCTGGGCAGACTCTTCCAAGCTCCAGCCTTTTAAACCATGTTTGGGAGATCAAATTGATGAGTATCACCCCAAATACTACTATTGAAAGTTATCACATCGATCAGGAAACGTGAGCCTGGACTCTGCCAGGAGTATTCCTAATCTCCTCAAGTGGGAAGAAAAATTATTTTATTTCCTTTTCATGACTTTGGTGAATTGGGATGGCAGTGACCTGGGGGAAGGTGGCCTCCAGTGGCCTTTCAGGCCTTCCTCGGCTCCTCTGCTTTTGTTTCTGCTGAATGGAACGAGCTCAGGCTCTGATGTCAAATCGCCCAGATCTGACACTGACTCTGCGCTTTTCCGACTCTGACTTTGGCCAGTGATTGAACTCGGGGCCTCAGTGCTATGATCTATAAAGTGGGGATTATTAATGGTGCCCCTTCCCAGGGCTGTTGTGAGGACTGGAACGGTTCATGAGAAGGACTCAGCACAAGGCCCTGCACACTATGAGCCATCAAAGGAATGTCTGCAACTGCTACTGCCATGAGGGCACTGGCTCCACACTTCCGTCTCCTCCCAGCCCAGAGCCCTCCCTGTACAGGGCGCCATTTCTTACTTAGACACCAAGGCATCAAGGCGCCGAGGTGGTTCCTGCATGCATTTCTACGATCTTCTGCTGATGGAAACCCCACATCCCATGTTGGCAAATCCACCTCCACAGAAGATAAGGTGAATGCATACAAATGCCAATTTGTAAAAGGTGCCTTTTAGCCACAGGCGCTAAATTAAATTTCCAGCAAATCCTTTTAGAGAGGGTCAGTGTTCATTTTCTATAAAATGTGGCTTTCTGAATTAAATATAAAAGCTTTCCTTTAGAAATCCCATTTATGACTTCCTTCCTCGCTCCTCTTCCCCCCTTCCCCCCCCCCCCCACCGTCTCCCCCACCCCCACTTTAATTACAGTGAAGGGGGATTAGTCAGTGCAAGTCTCTGGGGAGTTCTGTACAGAGCCGTCTCTGAAATTAAACTAAAGAGAAAGTGGCAGCAGGCACGGAGCAAAGAGAACAGACGAGATTGATTGATTGATCTCAACTCATCAGATGAGTGCTCGGGACCGCAGGGAAGGATGACAACAGAAACAAGGAGAAGACCCTCCTCCACCCTCCGTTCCCATCCAAGGCTGCCAAACAAGGCACCTGAGAGCCAGACCCAACTCCCCAGGGGCCCTGTCCCGTGGACGCAGCCCAGCCTCTGTTATTGCTGCTCCTAGATGGAGAACAGCAAGAGGGAAGCTGAAGTCACAGAGGAGGAGCCAGAGGAGCTGGACTGCGGGTTTCTGCAGGGGAGGGTCCTTTTTCTTCTATTCCGCCAGCCCATGTGGGGTGAAGCAGGCCCTGCACCAGGAGGCTCACTTTCAGCTTTCAGGCCAGAAGCCCCGGGCACACTCCTCGGTAGCTCATCTGTAGCTTGCCGTGGGCTTTGAGGTGGTCTTTGAAGACCCCCATGGTTTCTCCTTAAAACCCCACGACTGCACCATCCCATTTCAAAGGGCAAGGAAAAGGCTAGATTTTCTTGGTGGACTGATGCTATCACATGAGGGGTTGAAAGGGAGAAATGGGGAGCAATGAGGGACACTGGGTTTGGATGCTTCTTCGCAGTGACCAGTATCTGTTGAGTGGACCTCATGACACACCTGTGAGCGTACCTCATTCTCGCCACTGTGAGACAAGCACTTACGAACTCCCTGTCCTTGCAGGGCAGAGAGGAAGAAACTTGCCCAGAGTCAGGGGCAGTCAGAGCTTGCCTTTACACTCAGGTCTGCCCAGGGAGCTCCCTGCTGTTCCCTCACACAGGGCTCCACCGCTCTCTGCTTCATTCCCTGCCCACCCCCCACTCCGCCCTGATAAGGTCACTTTCTCACTCACGCAGGGGTTCTCAAACATTATGAGCAACAGAATCTCCCTGGGGGCTTGTTACAACCCGATGGCTGGCCCCACCCCCACAGATTCCGATTCCTTGGGTCTAATCTCATTCCATGATGCTGATGCTGCCGGTCCAGGGACCCAACTTTGGGAACCACTGCTCTACGGATTTTTAAATCCCTGTGGATCCCGTGTTGCTCAGGGGCCACTGATGAGCTGGTTGCTTGGAACTTTCAGTGCAGATTGCTGGATAGAGTGACGGTAATAGTAATAGTCAACATCATTTATCATTCACTCCGTGCCAGGCACTCCTCGTACCTCTTCTCATCTGGTCCTCTCCAGCGCCCCCATGTTTAGAAGGAACAGAGGTCCTGGAGCTAACAAAGGAACAGCAGAAATTCCAGCTCGCTGCCTTGGCCCCACATGTATTTAGCTGAAAGCTCTTGGGGGCTGGCTCTCCACTATTACCGTAATGCACACGGTGGTGAAGTTGCACCAACGCAAGGAAACCATGCCTGTGAACCCCCACAGAAAGGCCAATGTATTCCATTTGCAGAGAAACTTACAAAAGGCGTTCTGGTTGAGAGGAGAGGGGAACTCCCCAGGTAATAAAGGCACTGGGACTGCTCTCCACATGGGGAGATTTGCTTTGTGAGTACACGGAAAAGGAAAGCTGGAGCCTACCCCAAAATTAACTGTCAAGAACAAGTTCCTGTATCCTACCAGGATATCATCAAGGGAGTAGGGCACTCTGTTGGGTGTGGGACACGAGGATGGGGAGAAGGTGGGATTAAGGCTCCCACTCTGCCACGGGACACAGAGGGGAAAACATGACCACGGTGCTACGACAGAACTGACAATGGCAGGTGACATCAGCTCAGGAGACACCGAATCATTACATCCCAGTTAGCCATGTTCTGTCACAATGTAACACTAATAAACTTTTCCATCAAGATGGGACACACAAAGACGCATTCCCCTGTCAACAGGGTAAAGAGAAACCCGTTTGTCTGTCTGCCATGGAATGGGGTTTCAGAACTGTGGATGGCACTGCAACGCTTCTCCCCCATCTGTGGCTCACCAAGATCTCCTCGTCAGTGGCGGGAGGAGGCGGGTTTGCTCTAGGACCCGTGCTCAGGTCAGAGCAGGGCACATGGGGCTGAGTGTGGGGCAGAAGCAGGGACCTTTACTCACAGAGTTCGAATCTTCGGCATGTGGTTGAAGCTCGTGACGAGGATGCGGCTAATGTTGTTGTTGTTGAGGGTGCTGTGAAGGTAGAGGAAGAAGGGAAATGGTTAACAAGGACGTAGCATCGGGGGGGCAGTAGTGATTTCTGGAAGGTGGGGGGAGGAATTGGTGCAACTGCCAAAAGGATCATAAATCAATAGCTATGGGGCAGCTGGAGACAAGGGGGCGGATCTCCAGAAGATGAGAGAATCCCTGACTCCTTCTTTCAGAGGAAAGGGAGGCTCTTTCCTCTCGTTGGCTGCCCTCTCAGTACTCGCGGACCCACCTAGGGCAACACTGTCACTTCCTGAAATCCTACCAGGTGCTGAGCACAGATGACCTACGACGACATCTCCAATTCTCACAAGCCCAGTGTCAGTTACGTATCACTGTCCTACTTTTTGAGAGAAGAAAACAGATATGTGTCATTCTGGTTAGCGACACACGTGCCTGTGAGGTGAACATTGTCCTTATGCTATAGATGAGGAAGTGGAGCTACGGAAGGGACAGAATTCTCCCAGGGACCCCTAGCTGCTGAGCTTGGGAGATGGGATTGGAATCCTGCACTGTCTTGCTCCAATTTCCCTGCTCTGCCCACTGCCCATACCACCCAACCCAGGGTGCTACATGGACAGTTTATTCTGGAAGTATGTTCTCATGAGCTCACCCCCTGTTCCCCTCCCATGGGCCCCCACTGGCCCAGGAAGGAGCCTTTCTTTGGAGCCTTCCATGGTTAAGCCGACTTCTTTTGTCCTCAGCTCTTGATAAACATATTGCCTTTCTCTTAGAATGCCCTCCAATGTTTCCTACCCCATGCGCGACCACAGCCCCACGACCTGGTCCATACATGATTCAGACTGAGTCTTATATGCCCTGGTTGTGCAATCTTGGACAAATTACCGGCATCTCTCAGCCACAGGCCCTTCATTGGCAGAAGCAGGTGGGTAACGGTTCCTCTCCCACAGGCTGGTAAAAGGCTCAGCGTGCAGTCTATATTCAGTAAATGAAGCCTACCATTTTATGGACACTGGCAGAGAGAATCTGGTCCTGTCCTGGTCATTCATGGTTCCCCCCAACCCAACCTCCACGGAAGTGGAAATCCAGCTTCACCTGGCACAGTGGCCCCCATACCCAATGCACCCAAGGCGCCTGCACATCCTCTCCCCTTCCACCCCACCACAGGGGGAGTCCACCCCACCACACCCCCTTGCCTCAGGCCCTCCCTACAATTCCTCAGGGCCTACTTAGCATTTGTTTGGCTAATAAGGCCAGAAGGAAATCTGTTTACCTGAAGACACAGAACCCAGTACGTCTCCCTCCCTCATCTGGTATTTAACGCGGGTCCAGTACTAATTCAGGCCCAGGGCATGGCAAAGAGAAACGCGCAGAGCACATCTGCATGGCTGCTTTTTGCCTTCTCCATACTTTACCAATGTTCCCGTGCAGAAACTTTGCATTCTATGAAGCTGAGCCCACGTAGCTATTCTGTGTCCTGTGGCTTATCTTTTCTGTGAAGTGTGTGTTAATCCATCCTGTCTCCCCATACCCAGGTAGCCTTTGGAATATCTCATCCGACAAGGCTGAAGAGTCTATCACTCCACTTCCTTGGCAGGAAGCTTCCTGGGTGTGGGGACTATGTCCCCCTGCCCCCACCAGTCCTCCATCAGATGAGGAATACCTCTGGGGCTGAAATGATGCCTTCATTTCCCTTTCTGTGCCAGAGTTCTAGGCTCCACACTTTGGGGATACCTCGTTAGGGTCATGGACTCACTACCAGACAACAGTCTGACCATCTTCCTCTCCCAAAGGCAAAGAGCACGAAGCCTTTGGAGAGAAGAGACTTCCTTCTAAGCATACCCAGCCACTCACATCGGGGAGAGTTCACAGCCAGCCCTAACTGAGCTGAACACACAGTGCAAGGCTTGACCGTAAGTGCATCTGGCAGCAATGACTTATTAATGTATTACTACACTGATGTTTAAATGTGAGCTGTAATGAGGGCTATAAAACATTTACGATAATAGCAATTATTCCAGAACCAAAATGACTAAACACAGTCTTCAGACTTTCCTGATTTGCTGCATGGGGCTGGCCAGCCTGGGGATGACAGAGGGCTGGTGACCTCTTAGATGCTGATCTCCATGGCAGCTACAGGTTTTGTTTCCCCGATAGACCTAGATTTATTTGATCTCTAGTCTTGGTGGCTTGCGCCCACGCATGGAGTACGGTGCTCTCTCTGGTGCCTGCACCTCTCAGTAGTCGGCTTTCAAAGAAGGTGGTGGTGTTATAACCACCCCTCCCCCCAACCCCCACAGTGGAGCAGCATTGGGGAGCATGCGCCTGGAAGGGAGACCTGGTTCAGACTCTGGCTCTGCCACTTACAGCCTGTGGAACCACCAGTAAGTTTTCTGAATCTCATTAAGTTTCCTCAATTAACATGGAGATAATACTAGCACCAATCTCACAGAGCTTTAGGGGTAATATAATACGATGATACTAGTACTCCCAGTGTTAGCTGAGAGCTTATTATGTGCCACGCAGGCACTGGGCTGGGGGTTCCACTTGTACCATCTCACTTAATTTCTGCAAACACCCTATGAGACAGGCACTTTTGTCATCGCCTCCATTTCAGGGACGAAGCAAGCCCAACTCCAGGAATGACGCCTGCATTGGTCACCTCCTGCTAGGAGAACAGATTACTAAAAATTTTGTGGCTTCAAGCAACACAGTCTGGAGGTCAGAAGTCTAATGTGGGGACCACATTTCTTATGGTGGCAGCAGCAGGAGAATGTTTCATTGTCTTCTGCTGCCTGTCCTCAGCCTGTGGTCCATTCCTGCAGTTCCCCGACCTCCTGCTTCTGCTGTCACATCTCCCACCATCCACTGTGACCCAGCTCCCTGTTACGAGGAGCCTCGTGAGACATTTAGGGCCAAAATGGATAATCCAGAATAACCTGCCCATCTCAGGATCCTTATCTTAGTTACATCTACCAAGTCCCTTTTGCCATAAAAGGTAATATTCCTAAGTTCCTGGGATGAGGACACGGACTTTTGTGGAGGGAGGGGCCTTATCCAGTCAACCACCCTGCCCTGAAACAAAGCACACTTGTGAGCACACGGCCTGGCTCTTGCGCAGCACTCAGGAACCCTCAGTTGTTGTTTGACCTTGTGTCTTTTTACTCTTTTATGGTTTACAATAAGTTTTTGCGTTCACCTTATTAAATATTTGTAGGACTCTGAGGTTGGAATTCTTATCCCCATCTTAGAGATGAGTGATTTGAGGCTACGAAAGGGACCCCCAGGGTAGCTCACAAGCTCCTGGGAGGATCTGGGAATCACTGTTCTTTCTTTATACCACAATTTCCCCCAACTTACCCACTGCCTCCTGTTTTCAAGCCAGTTTGTTACCCCAGAATGGATGTTTTCTGTCATGTGCACCCTGCACCCAAAGCTGGAAAGAAGTGCCCAAGTGTCTCTTGTTCTATGAACTTCCTTGAAAATTAACCAACAGGAAAATAAACGGTTGGGTCTAATGATGACCCGCCTCTGGAGGGCTGGCCTGGACTAAGCTGTGGGGACCTCATCATCTTGTTTTATGTACCTCCATCTTCTGGAGTTCTGCCAGTTCTACAATCTAGCTTTAACCTCACTGCTCTGCTCCTTTGGAGATATTTTGAGAAAATACATTTTACCCCAAGTCACCCAGGTTGGAGGTTTCTCCTCAAATAAATGCAGTGTCAAGAACAAGATCAGGGTCAAATTAATTCTCTAAGACTTCAGAACTACGCTGCCCTCCCCCCAACTTTTGCACCATCACAAGCTACTAAATGGGCATCTCAGTATTAACTAGAAATAAGGCCACCCTCCCCCATGAGATTTAAAGACAGTCTGCCTACCTCCCTTTCTTTGTCCTAAAACCCTTACCTGTTATACTGTATTTATATTGAGACTAAGGGTGACCTATATACTGTGCAATCACTTTTCTGTTTTGTCATAATCAGAACATAAATGTTTAATGAAAAAGGATCATTTTCCATATTAAAATGATCCATGTGAGCAATGCTACCTCTCCCAATGGATCCCATGCTCTCTCCGTTCTGAGCACTAGAGGGAAGGCATTAAACTGGTTTTCCCCAGGACACTAAGGGATTAGTGAACTTACTGCTCCTGGGGAGCACAAACAGAACCTTGATACCCAGAAAGAATGTGCTTATGTTCCTCAGCTGAATCCTGTGTACTGTGGCAAGACCAGGGCTCCCCAGTAGGGAAGAATGCATGAGGCAGTTGTGCCCGTACGGGTCTGTTCCAGGAGATGACAAACTACTGACCACAAGTCAGATCCCATCCCTTACAGCTTGTTTTTGTAAGTAGGGTCTTACCTATCCATTTATGTATTGTCTACGGCGGCTGCTTCTGTGTTACAGGAGCCGAGCAGATGCGACAGAGACCACGGGGCTGGCCGCGCCGAAAATAGCGCCATCTGCTTTTTTATAGAAAGTGTTTGTCAATCCTGGTTCTCTAGAACTGGGAAGTTCCCGTCTTGCCTTTGTCAGTAATTGCCTGTGATGTGGGCAGGCAGCATAACCGCTCTGTAAGAAGAGGGGATTAGGTCAGAAGCTCCCAAAACCCCGGTAGGAAGCCCCAAGCAGCAACTGGTAGGGCTGGGAATTGAAAGCAGGAGGTCTGACTCTAGAATCCACACTCCTGGCCCACAGCACAGGCCCACCTGGAAGAGGGGTCCCAGTGCTTCCAGCACCAAATCCGAGCCAAGAGAGGGCCCTGCTCAAGGGACAGGGCAGGTGAGTCCACCTTGGGCTGGGTGTGGAATGAACTTGGGTAGTGGTTCTCTAACTGTGGTCCCCAGACCTGCATCATCATGTCTTCAGGCCCCACCCAGACCTACTAAAGCAGAGGTGGGGGGGGGGATGTCCCCCAGCCTCGTGTGTTTTAACACGAGATGCTCCCTCCATAGTCTTCTATGAAAGCTCAAGTTTGAAAACCACCAAGCTAGACAAAAAGCTAAGAATAGAGCCTTTACC